AATCTCCGAAACGGCTGGACCGATTTCGATGGGACTTTCACTGACAGACAGCTGATGTTATATGGAGTAACTCAGGCTAATTTTCTTTTAGGAAAAGAATTAGGGTTCCGAGAAAAAAATATTATTATTATATTATTGCCATATATTAGGCTAAGAGGGTTATTTGCATGCCATTAAGAGATCAATATCTTTGTCTGTCCTTTGTAATGAAACTTCACGAGCAGAAAGAGAGAGAGAGAGAGAGAGAGAGAGAGAGAGAGAGAGAGAGAGCAATGCCAAGAGTCACCTATGCTAAATTTTATTCGAAAAACTTTGCAATGTCCAATCAATACTAATCAATTTTCACAATGAAAATTAAACTTTTGATAAGAAAAAAACGCTGAAAGGTGTTAAAAAATTGTGTACGAATAATTATAGTGTCGACTTGAAACTATATTTAGTTGTTTGAAGTCGACTTTTCCTTTTTTATTAAAAGTTTAATTAAATGACAGCCCGAAAACGCGTGACTAATTTTGATTTGTCATTGTGCGCGTTAGCTAGTGATGTACATTTTACTTACAAGGACTATCAAAAAATAGTTGTTAAAGAAGCGTTAAAAAGATTAAACAAATTGTTCAGTGCACGAAATAGAATAACTTCCAAAATTAACTGAATTTTTCCCATGATAGTTTTAAAATAATTAAAAAATATTCATATAACATGTTTTTCGGAATAAGCTGAACCTTGGTATATAAGGTGACTCTACCGATAAACTTAAAAAAAAAGAAACTTGTTGTTTAAAGGCCAATATGTTTATTAGGCTTCATCATGCTTCATGTTTATATTCTTTCACCTGTCCCTGAAAAGTATAAAGTAAAAATAAATCTATTATCATTTTAGCTGCATGACTTTAAAAAATATAATGATCTTAACAGAGTGACGTGCACCAAGTGTCTGAGGATAGAGATGCACTATCTATTCTCTCAATCTCGGTATGTTAAGAAAATTGTCACTTATTCATGGACTGACCACCGCAAGTGCAGCTTTATTTCGCAGATTTATTGATACGCGCATCATTTACTTAACCACGAGTTCCTCTTCTCTAAGATTAACGCTGTAGGCAATGAACTACGCTATTTAAGCCCTCGGCACAATGTCGTCGGCCATCAAGCATGAATCGGGCATCGAGCGTTGTGAGTATCAAATACTATGGAATTTATACTATCACGTCTCATGCGCGGGCGTTTAGTGGCGCTTCAGGAGCATGACTAAATATCTATAACTAACTACGCTAAAAGTTTTATCATTGTGACTTGGGAATATAATCCGAAGCTCCGCTCAACCCCTTGGGGGAAATAGCTGCTATGAATATTGTACTAGTGCGCGAGCCTGTGTGATTGGTTAAGTAAGATTATACATTCTGTGAAGTCGTGGTACAACCGGGGTGGTACCACGATCTCACAGAAAACCAGCGTGAAGTAGAGGTTTACCTCTGCGTTTCGCTTGGTGAGTGCAGGTGGCCGGAGGCCCTTTTTACTGGAAATGAGGCATTCCATCTTAGTCCTCACGGGTGACAACGCATCTACATTTTGATTTGTAATAGAAGATAGATGTAGATGTCTATGGGCCGCAGCAACCACTTACCATCAGGTGGACTGTGTGCTCGTTTGTCACCCTTATCCTATAAAAAAAAATACATTTATTTTGGTTGATAATTAGATACTTAGTTGAGTTCATAATGGCTTAAAGAGGATAATCTCAAGATTTTTTTATATTGTTTTATAATGTATAAAAATCTGTTTCTATTTCTATTAAAGTTTTGAAAGTAACATTTTTAAAGTCTGATTATAACAATATTATACTTACTAGTACAAATAATGTAGAAATGACTCCTCAAAACTTGAAAACGAGATTGTACAACCATTGCGTTTTGCCAGTGATGACTTATGGATCTGAGACGTGGTCCTTCACTACTGACCATATGAGGAAGCTCAAGGTCGCTCAGCGAGCTATGGATAGGCCTATGCTCGGGGTTTCTCTGCGTGATAAACTTAGAAATGAGGATATCCGCAGTAGAACCAGAGTGACAGACATAGCCCAATGGATTAGTAAGCTGACGTTGCAATGGAACGGCCATAGCTCGAAGAACGGACAGCCGATGGGGAAAAAAGTTCTCGAAAGGCAGCCTCGTACCAGCGGGCGAAGTGTAGGGCGTCCCCCCACTAGATGGAGTGACGACTTAGTAAGACATACAGGAAGTCGATGAATGCAGGTGGCTCAGGACCGTGCTTTGTGGCATTCCTTGCCGGAGGCCTATGTTCAGCAGTGGACTTGCGAAGGGCTGTAATGATGAATCCATTTTTAAAATTATATAAACATTATGTTTATTAGTTAAATGTAATATTCTATTGCGAATAGCTAATTATAGTAGTAATAAATAAAGTCCTATGTTTATTATAATATCCACCTTCTCATCGATAATGCATATCGACTGTTGTTACATCCATGGCTGTATGCAACTTGTCAATGTAGTTGCGTCACTTCATTATACTATTATGAAACCTCAGAACAATAACTAAAGCATAGAAGTAATACTAGATAATTAAAACGTACATTGTCATAGACAAAAGAGTATTAACTAGTGATGTGCCAGTAAAAATAATTAATGCCGATATCGGTACTGGTATTTTTGTCTATGGAAATCATGAAAGCGAGGAATCATATTCTCAGATTTGTGATATGGTGTCTGTGATTTTCAGAGTTTAATATCTCTATATGACTATCATCATTATACTAAGGTGGCGCGGCGGGCTGGGCCGTAATTTCAGTAGCGTTCGAGTTTTTAATTTTTTTTTTAACCAAACTACTGAAAAAACATTTAGCGCTAGTGAATCTTGGCACTGCAACCTTAATAAAAACCACAGAGTAATTTTAATACAAATTGGAAATAGTGAGATTAATCAATACAACAATAAAAAAATAAAAAATATTATTTCTCTCAAATTCTATGTACAACACATTATAATACGAAATAAATAAATAAATTATTGTCCTTTAAAAATAATTGTTTTATTTAAAAATGTCCTAATTATTTCTTTCGGAGCAGAAAACTTTTTGGTAATGTAGTGAATCCTAATTTTTAAAAACTCTTTGCTGATCAACTTTATCTACAAGTTTTTAGGATCGTCCAGTAAATCATTGTCAAACGAATGCTCGTCTAAATCACTGAATATATATGTTGGCAATATTATTTGCGATATTTTATTGATCATTGTTAAAAAAATTTTAGGCTGTCCTAAGAATTTGGAGCCTGTTCTGATTTCGAACTCGCGCAGTATTTTTTCTGCAGTTTTACACACCTTTTTTACACCTTCCGAAGGTTTAGTCAGGCCTCCTCTCTCTTTAATAGATATCAAAGAAAACGGATTCTCAGCACTGTGACTTTCCAAACTTTGGAGGCATTTTTCACATATGACTTCCTTTTTTATTTTTCTGAATACATAACCAGCTATATAATCTACTACGTGTTGTGCGTATTCTGTTAAATTTGAGGCACGTAAAATATAATCATGGTCAGAATAATTCTCGGAATTAATGTTCACATCAGGCAAGTCAATTAGTCTGGCATTTCCAGTAGATCAATTTAATAATTGTTTATATTTTTGATTATTGTAATTTAACATTGATATATTTTCTAGAGGAAGACAATTCCATGTTGAACCATCTTTTAGCTCTGCATGTACCAGCAACCGTTTGTAAGCAGCCCTGTACATTTTTCCGATGGGTTATTATTAAAACCACATTTAGACCTTATGGCTCCGAAAAACAGTTCAATATGGTCTTGGCTGAACTTGTAGGTACACAGATATTTTAAAACACTGTTTTCTGGGAGGACATATTTTTGGTACAAACCAACTAAAGAGTCCATGCAGATTATAAATCCTCGAAACCTGTCGATTTTTTAGAATTAATAACTAACAAACCATCTGTAAATTTTAAATTTTTTATATATTCTTTAGCGAACTCAAAAAATATTTTGGTTTCGTCAAAGTTAAATATTGCTAACGCACGTTTCCATCCTTTTGCCCGCATATTTCCGCTATTCATTATATCAAAGAGGTTATTAAATATTCTAACAAATTGTATTGTACCCGTACAATTAGCAAAATCAGGAATTCCGAGTAATTTACAAAATTCCAAAGCGTCTGCTACTGATGCGCTGAGAAGTTGGGTAGCTAAACGCACCTTCATTTTCTGCTTTACATAGTTAATATGTTCAGGTTTTATTTTAGTACCTAAATGAAGCCCTTCACTGCTTTGAATTTTGTCTAACAATTCTAATAACTGCCAAGAAATTGTATTCCCGTTTATGTCAACTAGAATTTTTTTGTCCCCAAATGTGTTACGTATTAATTTGATGTTGTGGCAAGGATCTGGCCACAGATATACTACCTCATCATCATTAGCTTTAAAAGAATAATTGAATGCATCGACATTGCACTCCAAAATATTGCACATAGCTTTATTGGTTGAAGCACCGTCAAAAGTGAGCTACACAACTTCAACTCCAGAATTTTTTAGTAGTGATATACATTTCTGTACCAATAGAGATTTTTGCTGTGCGGTGATTGAGTCAATCAGAAAGTAGCCCACAGGTATTTTCCAGGTGTCATTTACGGCAGTTATCATAAAAGTTAATGCTTCTTTAGCAAGTGGTACATCTTGTGAATCCAAGTCACATCCGATATTGACGTACCCAAAATAATTTTTTCCGTCCCATTCGACCAACTTGCGAATAGCTATTTCATCGAATGATAACGCTACATATAAAGGTTTATTATTATTTAATTTTACCCTTTGTTTAACAGCTTCAAAGGCCTCTATAGTGAATCCTGGATCACATTGGATACATTGATACCACTTGCATATTGTTTTTGGGTGTGGCAAAACATCTTTTAATTCATTGCGCATATACTCGTATGCTCGCGGAGATAAATAATTTAAAGTGACTGCGAATTTTTTCAATTCCAAAGAGTATTTACGCTTATCGTCTCCCATTTCTTTCTGTAGATTATTGGATTATTTTTCACTGAATCTAATATCAGCAAATTTTCTTTTTCTATTTTTTCTTCATTCAAAAATTTTTCTAATCTCAACTTTAAATCCAGATTTTTATTTTTTAACCGTCTTCCCTTTTGACGCAAAGAATTTATTTTCAACAGTCGTCCTTTGGCAAGTTTTTGCAGTTTTTCTAAATCCTGTTCTAATTTAGATACACAACTAATTAATTCTTGCTGACTTGGTGTCGAACTAAATCTAACTGTAGTAGTTAATTTTGCACTAGAATCAGATGTGCTGGTTGATGTTGTACTGGCTGGTGTAGGTGCAATCTTCGGTATTGCACTGGATGTTGATGCAATATTCTTTTCAGACACACTGGATGTTGATGCAGTCGCAAGTGTAGATGCAGGGCTGCTATAGTTCTAGAACAATTTAGTTATTTTATGTAATTTTTGCATCATAGAAAATGTATGAATTAAACGAAATAAACAATGGGGTAAATAATAATAAAAAATTTTGAATTTTAAGGGTGGGATACTTAATGTCAACAGTCAAAATATCAACACCGCGTAATCAGTAATTTAATTTTTAAACAAATCAAAACAATAAACAGATTTATTGTAAGAAGGATCTTACTCTATAATGTTTGTTATCCGGCAGATGTAGTGAAGATATAGCATTTAATTTCAACCTGCGCCATTTGTGTTCAAAATTTATAAAGCAGTCATCTTTAAAATGTCTGGAACAAATACGGTGGTGCTTTTTCCACTCCCAATTGCGACGTGCAATATTGTCGATCCATTTTAGTCTTAAATTGATGTCCGTAGGAAAACTGTAATTTAATCGTAAACTATCGATAATTCAAACTAGGCATATATTTTGCCCAACACTATTGCCAAAATTTTAACTCAAAATTTTAAACAACAAATATTCAATTTTATTACTTAAAAAAAGGCTTAAACTTAATTTATTACAAGATTATTCGATTTGAAAGTATAAATGACAAAAAACGTGAATTTCTATCAATTCAAAATGCTCGTCAATTGTGTTTCAAATGTTGACACAATGACTTACCGGTGAAAGTTTATGTTTTCGGAGTCGTTTTTTTTCCTAGAGGAATGGGATTTACATCCCACTATAATGCAGGACATTGTTCTTTTTATTAATTTTTCGATTCACACTTTCACACTGAAAAAATTATAATTTCCAAGCGAAAACTCAATTTTAACACAGTCAGACAACCTGACGACAAGCCAGCGTATTATAGGAACAATTTAAGATGAACATAGCCATAGACAAAAAACTTTTTAAATATTTCCTTTTAAATTAGTAGCACAAAGGTAAATAAGGTATCCAAACTGACGTTTGCCGAATGTACATTGGTACCTATTGACAAACTTTTATTTATCTCTTTCTGACATACTTTGAAAAAAAAAAGAGATGTATGTATAGCTGTTAGACAGGCTCCTTCTATGCTTTAGTTACTGTTCTGAGTATGAAACAAAATATATATATTATATGTATGAAACAAAATATGTATATTATATGTATGTGTATATGAAATTGGTAATGTATTATTTTAATTGATATATGTGGGCTTCGTAGTGACAGACGATTATTTTTGTGTGGGTGTCTGAGAAAGTGTGCGTGGCGCAGATCTCCCCCGCAAAAAATTACAGACAGTTTGGTACCGGAAAATAACGCTATGGCTTCTCCCCAACTGTGTTGCTCTATGGGTATAACTGTTGTATCTATGTGAACATCGTGTCATGGTAACAAGATTAGACAAGGTAGAATTTAATAAATGAAAGCGCAAAAATAAAAATAAAATATGCTTGGAAATATTTTTCTTTAAGTTTACAGATTATATTTCTTGAAATTGAAGTACACAAGATGTTTTTTTATTTTTTTTTTTGCTTATTTATTTATTGCCTGACTTGAATATTTTCTTTTAAAACAGCGTTACCTCCACACTAGGATTTGTCCTGTATCGTGGGCAGTTTACATACATAAAGGACATTGCTCTGCACCCATACATTGTTCGCCCTGGCACCAAGAGCATCGGAAAATTATGTGTTTTATTGTCGATCATTAGTAAATTCCTATAAGATCTTATTTTTTTAGCGGACTAGCTGCATAAAAGATATATTTCAAAAAAGTATCAGATTTTGAGGTTATAATCGAACCACGAATATTACGGTTTTCATAGCTCCGAGTGATTTTTAGCAAACTGAAGAACGATGTCCTAAAATATTTAGCTATTTTTTTAGTATCTATCTAGATAATTAGGTATTCAGTTTTTGTTCTAAATCCTAAGTGTATGTAAGTACAACGTATAAATGCATATAATTTTGTTAACAAACCTGCTTTCTTAGCATTGGTTTCGAAATGAGAGATAATGTTTGTGTATTAATGTAAAAATAAAAATGTATGTATATAATGGCTGTTAGTATTTAGATATAGAGGGTTTAGGCTGGTTACAGTCACGCCGCCAGACATGCCGTCGAACAGCGAGCGTATCAACCACGGTTTTAACGAAGTTTCAACAGAGCGCGCTTGAACAGCATGAATATTATCGACAACTATCTAGTGAATTTGCAAGCGTGTACGTCTGGACCGCGCTGTTCAAACGCGTGACTATGAAACCAGCCTTACCGACTTAGCACCTAATTGGTAGTATAAGTTGTTTTTACAACTGCATTAATTTATTATGTTTGAATTAGAAATAAAACACAGATTAATTTCATGTATATTGTTCATCTTCTAAATTGGAAATTAGAATATTGTCTAAAAACTGTGCAGGGATGTCAATATTATTTTGATGTCTCGTAAAGCTCAAGTACCAAATGATGGTCATAACATGGGCGCAGCAACCGGTGGTTCTGCGCACAACGATGCAATTACAGCAATATTGCACGGTTGCTTCTCTGTTCATCTTTCAACAACATTGAGCCACTAGCAGAGCCGCAATTTACACAAAATACACTTTCCATTGCGTGTGCGTAAGTCCGTTTATGAATGCTAGGTTATCGTTTGAGCGGTACACAGTTCCGAAAACCACAGCAAGGTTCTTGGAAGCATCCAGAGTCCGTTAAAATAGCCAAGTCATAATGTTCAATATATAGTCCCGAAAGTCACCAAAACACCGATACAATTACAAAGATCAAATGATGCCAACCAATGTAATTTTGACAGAGTGAAAGATGACAGTATAAAGTAGGCATGTCGATTTGAAATCGTTTAATCGATTGTTTATAATAAAATAATTTTATTTATTTATTTATTTATTCTTTATTGCATTCCTTAAAACAAAAGAATACAAAGGGCGGACTTAATGCCTTGAGGCATTCTCTACCAGTCAACCCATGGAGTGGTGAGAATTTGACGTAGGTGCGACAATATAGAATAAAATAACAGTACACAAAATAATAACTAACTACATAATACATACAATTTACTAATAAATAAACTATACATATATGACGTATACAAACATATATACAAATATATACATACAAATATACATATTTAAATACATAATATATAATTAGTACATACAAATACCTATGAACATATGCGTCTGTTTAGCAATACATATCAAATGGATGAATCAAGTAAAATGCTTTGTCTTCAATAGATGGTTACGGACCAATTTTTTAAAAACATACTTGTTGGATGTTTTTCTGATGTCATCGGGCAAGGAGTTCCAAAGGCGTGTAGCCTGAACTGTGAAGGAGTTGCCATAGAACTCGGTGAAGTGAACAGGAATACAGATTTTGTTGTTAGAAGAAGAACGTAGGACCCTATCATGAGATGAGGAGAGATAGTGAAATTTACTCTTAAGATAAGAAGGCGAAGATGGGTCATTTAAAATGGAAAAAAGAACAAGCAATATTCTGGAATTGCGCCTCTGACGGATTGTAAGCCAATTTAGCTTAGATCTATATTGCGAAATATGGTCATACTTACGAAGCCCGAAAATAAATCGTATACAGTTGTTAAGAAGGCGTTCCAGTTTGTTCAGAAGATCTTGGGACAGATCTGGGTAACACACATCTGCATAATCAATTATGGGTAATATGAGCGAATGGACAAGCATAATTTTAGTTTTTGTGGGAAGAAAATGTTTTAGACGATACAGAGAGCGTAAAGTGGCAATGACTTTACGACTCACTTCTGAAACCTGGGTTCTCCAATTCAACGTGCTGTCGATATGTAGGCCAAGATTTTTAACAGAATTACTGAACGGAATTATAATACTATCATAATAAATAGGAGGTAAATCTGCCAGATTAATCTTAGCTAGCATTCTTAAGCTACCCACTAGTATAGCTTGGCATTTCAAAGGATTGACCAAAACTCCATAACGAGTAGACCAATCTTTGATAGCTGATAAGTTGTCGTTAAGTTTTTTGATCCCATTATGTATATCCTCAAATTCAGTTTGCACATAAAGCTGAAGGTCATCGGCGTACAAATGATACGAGCAGTCGAGGATGGAGGTAATAAAGTTTATGAAAATTGAAAATATTATAGGAGAAAGAATACCGCCTTGCGGCACACCAGCATCCACATCAGCCCAAGCTGAGGACATTTGCCCCACACAGACTGACTGCTGTCGACCGCGAAGATAAGATGCAAACCATTCCAAAGCAGTAGGACCAAAATTCAGGTGAGATAGTATGGAAAGGAGGATTTCATGATCAACTGTGTTGAAAGCATTTGAGAAATCAACTAGTACCAGTACTGTTATCTTTTTTTCTTCCATACCTTGTCTAATATTATCAGTAACATTAATTAAAGCAGTAGCGGTACTATGACCAGCGCGAAACCCAGACTGAAATATACTCAGTAGGTTATGTTTCGAAATAAAAGTAGAGATTTGCTTGTAAACACAGGATTCTAAAATTTTGGAAAGAAAGGGTAGAATAGATATTGGGCGAAAATGATTGGGAAGAATGGGAGTAGGAACTTTTGGGAGAGGCTTTATAAAAGCCCTCTTCCAAAGATTAGGGTACTGACATGAATCAAGGGAAAAATTGATGATATGGGTAATTGCAGGAAGAAGGTGCTCTAGTATAAATACTACCATATGTCTACTAATCTCATCATAACCCACCGCCTTGGATTGGATTGCTAAAATAGACTTTTTGACATCATCCTGAGAAACAGGAGAAAAATTAAAGGTAGGGATGTTAGGAGTTTGCATAGAAGCAATGGATGTCATAGTTTGGGAGCGAATTGTAGGGTCCAATGCTTTTACAGAAGCGAAATGTTGGTTGATTTCATCGAGTGATAGAGAAGGACCACAATCCAATGTAGCTGGCCTGCAAAGACCAAAAGATCTTAGAAATTTCCACACTACGGCTGGTGAAGAGTTATTAATACAATTATGGAAATATCGGCGTTTAGCTGCACGTACCATCTGATTACACCTATTCCTGGCTGCTTTAAAAGATAACCAATTTTCTTCAGTACGATCTCTCTTGAAACGAAGAAAAGCTCGATTTCGTCTAGACATTGCCAACCTTACGCCCTCCGTCATCCATGGGGCAGGCGGACGCTTCAATCTGACCTTATGAACTGGAGCATGAGCATCATAGAGGCTGAGAACATTGTGGTTAAGAATCAAGACTTTATCGTCAACAGTAGGTGCTGCAATTAAAGAGGCTAGATCGAGATTAAGAGCGTCATTCTTTAGCTTGTCAAAGTCTATTTTAGAAAAGCTGCGAAGATGCATTACAGTAGGTGAATATTTGGGTGGTTTAAGCTTATACGAAGCATAAATCAAGTCATGGCGTGAGATACCCAAAGCGGGTAACTGACCGTGCATCATCACACGTTCAGGAGAAGCAGCAAGGATTAAATCAATCAATGAGTCATCGGTTCCGATATTATGATGAGTAGCCTTTAAAGGGAGAATAGAAAGATTAACCGACTCAATAATTGAAAGAAGCTTTTTGGAACGAGGGCAGCTTTTCAACAAATCTGTATTAAAGTCACCCATGATTATACAGTGTGTATACTCAGAACAAATATCAGTGAGAGCCATATCTAAAGTGGCGAAGTAGTCAGTCGAAGGGGGGCAATACACTACCCCTAAAAGCATCCTGATGCCCTTGACATCGAGTTCCACAAATAAAAACTCAGA